GGAGAGAGAGAGAGAGTAAGATAAGAGACCTGTTAGCCAACATAGATTTATCCATGTGCCAGAGTCTGGTCAGATGCGGGGGACTCTATGATGTCCCAGGGGATCTACTCCACAGTCACCTGAAAGGTGAAGAGGGATGGGAAACGGAAGAAGAAAGTTGGTGTGGATTCCATGGGCAAACTAAGTGAGGAACAGACAAAAGATCCTCTAAAGATGTCTTTCATCCTTCTACTCTAAAGGAAGCTAGACAAAAATGACAGCGGGTTACTCTCTTCTCAATACTGCAGGAGACAGGCAATCATTAACGTTTCCTTATGCTATTTACAACCGAAAAGGGCAGCCCTGCCTACCTAACTCTTCCCGACTCCAAGCAAATAGTGCCTAGCAGAAAGAAAATCAGTCTGTTGCACTATCTATCTATCTATCTATCTATCTATCTATCTATCTATCTATCTCTATCTGTGTGTGTGTCTCTCTCTCTCTATCTCTATCTGTGTGTGTGTCTATCTCTCTCTCTCTCTGTGTCTGTCTCCTTTTCTCACTTAAATTGGGGCCCTGTAAAGTAACCAGGACAAAGGTCTCCTAGTGAGGCACAAACAACATTCTGCCCCTTTATCCTAACCTGGAATTAAAACCTTTCCTCTTGTCTTTTTGCCACGCCCCCCCAACCCAGCCAGGAAGCCATTTCTCTAAACTGCATCCTTTCCCCAAATCACTTCCATTATATTATCAGCCTTTCCAAAAGGTTTATCTCTTATCTGATCCTTTGTCCTTAGAGGGAATTTCATTGGGACCTGCAGTCAACAGTGGACTCACTTCCCGTCTCCTAACCCAGCCTGCCATAATCCATGACCATGTGGAGGGTGCAAGGTCCCTTCCAGCAAAGCCAATCACTGGTCCAGGAACATAGCAAGATTTGTCAGGTTCCTTGTTGGGCAAGCAGATTGGGCCAGGTCATACCTGCTCTATGTGAACACTGAGAGAGAGACAGCTAGCTTGGGTTCTCTGTGTAATTGACTGCCCTCTGTGCGCAGCTTGGAATGTTGCAATTATTAAGATCTTGGACAGTAACCTCCCCGGGACCACTTCTTGGCACCATTCACACAATCAACATTGCTGGAAGCCAAGGCTAAGCAGGGTGGGATTTTTACAAAGTTGTATTTATTTACCCTCTGCACACTTTGGTTGCACAGTGTGATTTTTGGTGAGTTGAGAAAAATACCTGTAAATTTCCAGATGTCCCACCCTGCCATCTCCTGCAGATGGATAATATTCTATCCGCTCTGTAGAAGGAGGTTTCTGTGGTATCAGGCCGTGGATGTGGCCTCCAAAGACAATGAACAGCTTTTGGGATTGTTATTACCGGGAAGATACTACTGATGGCTAAGTGGGAAGAGGCAGGTGATGCTACCAAGCACAGTGCACTATATGGGAAGACCCAGGGGCAAAGAATGATCCCATCCCAAGGGTCATTACAGCCAAGCTGAGAAATGATGAGTCTGTTCGCCCCCCTCCAAAATGAGGCTCTCAGTCTGGGGTCAAAACCAGACCCCCACACACACACACTTGGGAAGAGCTCCCCACTCACTGAAGGGGAAAATAGCCAACAGTTCTTGCCTACCAATTCGTTGGATTACCATCTAAGCCAGATGTGGTGGCAAGCCTAAGTCCCAGCTGCTCCAGAGGCTGACTAAGGAAAACCACTTGAACCCATGAGCCTGAAACCAGCCTGGAAACATAGCTAGACCCCTGTCCCCCACAAACAAAAACAAAACAAAACTAATGAATCAAATTGCTTGAACAAATATTTTGAAGCAAGGAGATTTAACTTTACTTATTTTTAAGACAGTAAAACCTGCTTATATTCCAAGGGAAATTATAAGTGTAACAACAGTATGTAAATCCAATGAGGCTAGAGACAGGGGTGGATTCAGGCCTTTCTGGTCTCCCTAGAAGAGTCCTGAGAGAGGAGCTCTCCCTAGAGGCTATGGAAGCCACCTTATGGGTTCTTTTTAACTCTCACTTCTTCCCAAACCACTCCTTTCAGTGGGTACAGACCAGATGCCCCAAATCTTCATACATTGTAGACCTGGGTTGAAGTGTAGGATGGCTGGCCACAAAGCCCGCATGTAAACCAATCGTACGCACACTGATCTGTCTTCCACTACCCCCAAGAGCCTCCAGTAGCTTAACAAGTTGACCCAATATGCAGCAATTAAAGCTTTGAATTCTACCTTTATACTCTGAGCACTTGGCCCAAATGCTGTGCTCAAAATCAATCATCACCCTCTATGGCTTTAAGACTCATCAGAGCTGGGACTCTGTCAAAGACCAGGGCCCACATGGATGCACGTATCAACCACACACACAGCATAGGTCCTTCCAGTGAGCAGCCATACCTTCACCCACAAAGGATGGCTGCCACAGTCATTAGCCAGTATCAGCTTAGCACCTCCCAGGACTGTACCCTGGCATCCTCGTGGAATCTAAGTGTCTATTGTCTTGACCCGGGGTCTCATTTGGCGTCTTCCATGGCAACGACTGTCCCACTAACTAAGTACCTCTTTCTTCCCCTTCCAGGAGGCTGCGTGTGCCTACGTGTTGCTTGTGACTGCCGTGTACTGGGTGTCGGAGGCGGTGCCTCTTGGAGCTGCAGCCCTTGTGCCTGCCTTCCTCTACCCGTTCTTCGGAGTTCTCCGATCCAGTGAGGTTAGACCACTTATGACCCAACCCTGTGCTCAGATCTGCTAGACCAGTGAAGGGGGTCTTCAGATGACAGGAGAGAGGCACTTGATGGGAGGGGCTGTCCTTACTCACAGGAAGAACTCCTGAGCACTAGGCTTTACATCTGCTGATCCAGACACTGAATTCTTCCCCTTCAGCTCCTTCAAAGTGCTCAAAACTTGAGGCTTTGAAGTCTTCCCTGATCAAACATAGCCAATTGTTCCTTACATTCCAAGTTTTTTTTTTGGTTTGGGTTTTTTGTTTGTATTTAAGACAAGGATCTCATTATATAGCTCTGGCTGGCTTGGAGCTCATTCCATAGAACAGTCTGATCTTGATCTCATAGAGCTCCATCTGCTTCTGGCTCCTAAGCACTGAAATTAAAGGCATGTGCCACCATGGCTTTTAGGAACTGTATGATTTGTGCCTATTGGAGATAGTGGTTGATCTTTTTCAGTGTCTTGTATGTCCTTCAGACTGCAGTTACATAGACAGGAAGCAGGACCCCATCTGCTGGGCTCTTACTGCTTAGCTCACACGAAGGAGGGATTCAGTTGTTGACAAGCTGTGTGCTGCCTTCTTTCTTCTTCCATTTCTGATCCTTCCTCCCCAACTCCAGATCACAGCATATTCTCTTTGCCTGCAGCTAGCAAGCTCTGTTCACTTTACAGTATTTGGCAAAGCTCAAATTGAAACTGCTGGTAACAACCCCAGGTTGTGACCAAATTTCAGGGCAAAGCCTACTTTTAAAAAAATAAGAATAGGGGGTGGGGAGGAGGGATGGAGGGGAGGGAAGGGAGAGGGAGAAGGGACTTACATGTGAAACAAGCTTGTTCCCTAACTTGAACTAATAAAAAAAATTAAGAATAACCTGCAGGAAAACCGGGCGTTGGTGGCACACGCCTTTAATCCCAGCACTCGGGAGGCAGAGGCAGGGGGATCGCTGTGAATTCAAGCCCCGCCTGGTCTACAGAGCTAGTTCCAGGACAGTCTCCAAAGCCATAGAGAAAGAAACCCTGTCTCAAAAAACCAAAAAAAAAAAAAAAAAAAAAAAAAAAAAAAAGAATAACCTGCAGGATGAGAGCCAGATGAATAGTGTTTCTCAACCTATGGGTCACTGCCCCTTTGGTGGTTGAATGGTCTTTCAGAGGCTTCGGGTATCAGATATTTACATTGTGATTCATAACAGTAGCAAAATCACACTTCCGAAGTATCAATGAAAATAATTTTGTGGTTGGTGGTCACCACAACATGAGGAACTTTATTAAAGGGTGGCAGCATTAGGAAGGTTGAGAATCACTGGTCTAGGTTACCTGATGAGGAAACTGAAAAGAAGAGTTGGGCAAGGCAGACGCACTGGAGGAAGCCGGGAAGAGGCAATTGGGTCTGCTGAAGAAAAAGGCTCTACATTAGAAGTCTGAGTTCGTTCTTTAATAGAGAACTCTCAAGAGTTCTAGGAACAGGGTGTCGGTGTCAATGACTCCAATCCACACAGTAGGAAAGAGGCTTAGAGAGTAAAACTGACCCCAGTCATACAGTAGAAATTGGCAGACTGTACCTGTTAGATTTCAGAGCCTGAACGCTTGTTCACTCTACCATATGAAGGAAATTCCTAAAATATATGGGCCTTCACAGTGTTAGCAGTTGCTAGGAATTGTGGGTATCCCTGTCTCTGTGCTGTGAGGAAGAATGAAGCTGGCCTATGGGCTGCCTTAACCTTGAACAAGAGAACATTCTTGAAAGTTCCCTTGATGGTTGTCTGTGGTCACCAGTGAACAGCTCTTTCTATGGGATGAACTTGACTGACCAATTTTTGTTAGTTTGCCTTAGATTTCTTTTACATTTTTCAGTGAGTAGTCAGCCTAAGGATAGAATCCCCAAACAGTGAGCAAGTTTTTGTCCCTACAGATATGTGTGTAACATGAATATAAGAAAAGGGCACATACAAAACCCAGTCAGTGAGGCAGTTGCTCCATCTCCTTCTCCACCCCCACCCTTCTTCTGAGGGTGAAAAGAGGGATGTGATGGGTTTCCAGGCACATCTAAAAGAGCAAGCGACCTCAAAGACAACTTTTCTCAGGAAAAGTGTGCAAACTTCTTCCTGCTCGTTTCTCCTTAAAATTGTGGAACAAAAACTTCATTAGGGAGTGGGGTTGGGGGTGACTGAAGGGTTAGCAGGAATCCTCCAGGTGAGCCCAACAGCCCAATAGACTATAGAGATGTTGCTAGGCAACAGCTATGCAAGTCCCACCCCTTTTTATAGCCAGGAAGGTCAACCTAATAGGGAGACTGTTTAGAGGCAAAGGTTTGGGAAAGGGTCTTTTAACTTGAAAGGAATGGCCTTCATGCATGATTAGGTATTGCTGTTTCTGGGTGGGTGGAATTAAAAAGATGCATTTTATCATCTGAGGCAAAAATCTTAAAACATCTGTGTTTTTAGGTGGTTTTGACAGGTAGTTATATTTAGCAGTTGGGCTACAATGAGCAGCTTAGTCCAAATATAGTCTGTTCAGCTGACCTTAGCTCGGATTCAAGGAAAATGCCAGCAGGGTAAAGGACATGGGTGATAGCTCCTTGTGGGCCATAAGAAGCACCCATTGCACCCTCTCTAACTACACCCTTATACCATCATCATGGCTCCCCAGGAAAAGCTAGGCAGTTCTCCCACAGAGCCTCCTAGTCATCCATCCATTCTGTTCCTAATCCAGCTCCTGTTCTTCCATCCCCTTGCCAAGACTTGGGGAGCCCTCTCCATTTTGGAAGATTCTTTGAAATTTCTTTACTTTTCAAATCCTACTACTCAATTATGCTCTGGCGAGAGGTTTCTGAAGACCTCACCTAAGAGTAGTTCCCTTCCCTCTGAGCCAACTTGATGTTTTCACCTTTTAAGAGGTGCATGCCAAAGGTAACTCTTCCGCAGACACGTGTTCTTTAGGACTTGCGACTGTCTTGTGGCCCAGGTGTGTCCCAGTGCTCTCAGGTTGTGGTTCCTGATTCCTGTGCTTTGGGGAGCTAAAGAATACAACCTCCAAGTGAAGGAACACATGTGAACAGGGTTGGTGTGGCCCTGGGACTGTGGCTTTTGTCCCTCATGTCACTCACTGACTTCTAGATCTCCCATTCAGGGTGGTACAGTACCCAGAGGTGACAAAAGTAAGTACGTCACTCTGCCCACTGGAGTCTTATTTCTGGCTCCTGAGTTCCCACCACCTGAGGCTATTTATAGTCGTCAGCGCTCTGCAGAAAAGAGGAGCAATCCAACAGGGAGTGGGGCAGCGTTGCTGTAGGTACAGACGTGGAAAGAGAGGGCTTTGTTATAAGAAGCTGCCTCAGCCATGCTGAGGAGACATTCCATGACCTGCTGCTGCCTCAGTAATCCCAGAGCACAGGGTATGAGCTCTGTGAGTCCAATGGTCAGAGACCCAGCAGAGCTGACGGCATAAATCCCAGCCAAAGAGCAGAAACTAAGATGAAAGGTCCCAGCTCAAGCAGCAGAGCTGGGGAAAGGGGCCTTCTTCCCCGTCTCTTTACTTCATGCCAGGCTCCATGAACACCATCTCCAGGCACTGCGTTATTTAATCTTCTATAAGGAGACATCGTTTTCTATCTTTGTTTCATAGAGGGGCAAACTGAAGTTCAGAAAGGTTAAGTCACTTACCCAAGGTTGCACAGCTAGTAAACAATAGAACCAGAACTTGGGTCCAGGGGTGTGTGATTCTTAAACTCTTGACCCCTGGGTCATCTGTACCAAAGGCTTCAGCTGAGTTAATAAATGATGGGCACAACACAGCAGGCGGCACAGGGAGCTCTTCCAGAGGTGAGTTGGCCAGAACATCAAAGATCTGGAACCGGAGAGGCCTGGGGAATGAAGAAATGATTTAGGGATACATCATTTCTGGCTTCTGAGCCTCGTATGGCAGGCTCAGTCCAAACTAAATAGTCAAAGAGCTAGAAGGAGCTCCTACCATGAGTTCCATGTATACGGGGAAAACTCTGGAACAGGTGCCTGTGTGTGGTCCTCATATTCTCATTCCAAAAGGTTTGAGCCAAACAATCACATCAGGGACACCAGACTAGAGATGGACTTCCGGGCCTTGGCACTATGGTCTCCTTGACTTTGGGACTCCACCGCTCATTTTTTGAATAGGTCTTCGTACATAGCCTAAGTTGAATCACCACCCAAGCATTCTCCCCCATACCTGCCTACATTGTTCCCAGGAGCACCCAGCAACTTCCCTCTGCTGTTGTGCAGAACTCAGCTCTGGATTTTGGGTTGGTGTTTATATTTCATTGTATTTGTTTGGGCTCCACTGTGATTGTTACTGACATTATGTCTGTCTTAAAAGTCTTCTCATCCCTTGCTGCTATGTTGCTTGTGATTCTGATAGCCTGGGCACAAGAGCAGTGTCACCCCAGTTAGCTCAGATTCACTGTGCTTAGGAGGACTGGCACACCGTGAGCACCAAAGGACCAGGATGGAGGTCAGGGGTGGCGTGAGATGCATGGTGGCACCATGGGAGGAGCTTGGGTCACTTCCCTGGGAAGCCCAGGCACAGTAATTTCTTCTGATGGTATTTACGTGTTCTGTCTATACACAACCCCCTCCCTCTCCATCCTCTGCCCTCCCACTGCAAGCCACCAGGTCAGCCTCACTCACATTCAAGCTCCTGCCAGGGCAAGAGAGATTGGAGGCACCCCCCCACCCCCACCCCCACCCACCCACGT